CCTTGTTTTGATCATAATTCTAATAACTCTGAAATTTACTACTAAGTCCCCTGTACTACGAGTACTGTCTGCTTCAACGTTCTGTCGAGGGGACCATACCTGCTTTGATAGATAAGTGCGGTTATGTCATTCTATACAGGAAAATCGCAATGTCATTTTTGTGCAAGCTGCTAACAGCTTTCGGAAAATAATTTATTTTAAAGATTTCTGTGGACAAAAAACTAAACAACCTTCTATTCAGGCAGTTGATTACCGGTAGTGAAATCTGAAAACTGTTCATTGGCACTTCAAGGTCACTCTATAGGTCAGCGTAGACCACCAAATATGGCCATTACTATTCCGTTCTTGACAAGTTTTAAAGAGGAACATTGTGATAAAATAGAAGAAGAGAATAGTGAAGGAAGCTAGAGATTTTCAAGAGCCTTTGATGCTGCAGATAACCATAGGAGCGTTGACGATCCTCATATCTGATTACGCATTTGAGCATTACTCATACCACCATTGAAAAGACGAAGCTCTTTTAAGAATTTATTGTAGTTCTTGCACAAGCTTCGAAAGCTTATTTCCTCGCTTCATCAAAGAAAATGGAACACAAATTTAAAAGAAAGGGACTGAGTGCAAACTTTTTGGCTTTTATTACTCCACAAATGTTGACATCAGGCAAAATATACTTGCATTGGTTTCCAGTTAGCGTCAGATCATCAAACGCAGCTACAAACCTTATAAAAGATAGCGAAAACTGGAGCTTTTTGGGAACGTAAAACGGGATTTGAGATACTTTACAACCAAACCCCGCTGATTATGAACTTCCTCATAGATTGACATATTGGAAAACTTCCCCACCAAGTCCAATGGGATAAGAATGCTTTTATTCGCCTGACGTTATGAGATGCGTCGCGGATTCGTAATCAGAGACATAGTCAAATAGCAGTAGCAGGTACGCGTAGCGTATGCACAGGAGTTTGTAATATTTATAGCATACAGTCATTACTGCAAACATACAACGACAATTAACGTTAATTGCCTTCGTGCGTGTTAATAGTTTGTTGAACAGCATGCGGGCTCTGACCTGCTGAACTTTCATCACGCGTGGTGGACTCGGGCGTGACGATTTCTCGGCTAGCTGGTCCTCCGGTGTTAGCGTAGGATGACGCGGTAGCCTGTCCGTTCCCAAGTGGCGACTTGCTCTGATCAAATTCAGCACCGAATATGGATTGGGCAAACCGTTGCACTTGTTTAGGGATAGGGGCCCGTGAACCATGACTCAAGTAATTCTCGGCTCACCCGATTGTCACCT